AGTACCTGCGTTACGTTCAATAAACAACTCTGCAATAAACTAATTTTAGAAGCCTTGTTTTTATGCAGGGAAGATTTATAGCTACAATATGTCAAGTGAATGAATTTTTTCCCCGGCATTGCCCTATATCTTATTTACAAAACACTGAAAATTGCCTGATTACACATTCAAGTTGTTAGTAGTAACCGTGCCCCACGTATAGAGAGACTCTACTTTTCCTCAACCAACAAAGATTGCTTGAGTACTGTGTTTGGACGTGGCTGCCACATTCGAGGTGCAGGGTATAGTTACACGAGACTGTGAAAAGCAAATCAAAGTATAACAGGCGGCCAGTGACCATGAAAATTCACCTGAAGGTCGCCATCTCCTCTGTTGTTTTGACAGTTTTTTTTGCTGTGCTTCTACATGTATATTCATATTCAAATATGGATGCAAGTCAACGCATCCGTGGCAGACGCTCCCGAGTTCTAAAAGCGTGTTCGTAAGAGTATTTTATGAGAAAGAAGGGCGAAGAGAACTATCGATAAGAGACGAGACTTCAGGAGACAAACTTTTTAAGACACTTAACAAGAAAAAGGTTGTCCAGACGGGTATAAGAATGAAGGACTCCTCCGCTTTGAGGGCAAACAGCTGCAATGAATCTTACAACGAAACACATGTGAGCGAGAAAAGGGGAAAGCTGCAAGCAATGTTTACTAAAACGGAAAAATCTCATAATTCTTGTTCTGGTGCAGGCCGAAGTAGATCTTCCTTACTTGGTTCTTTATTGAACAACGTACATCATGAACTGGTTTGAGCCCGTCTATATCAGACTATCAAACATCAAATCCCTAAGAAACGGCAGCCAACAAAATTCAAAGAAACAACTATTAACATTATCAATAACTTCTTTCAATGCAGCTTTGACAAAATTGACAACACTATTCTGTCGGCGCTCTCGAATGTTCCGCAAGAAAAGTAAAACGCTGTCCAGAGGGTAACTTCCCCCAGTTTTCAAAAGAACGTCTTAGCAATACTTGTAAGAGTTATGATCACACTTTGATCAAGATTTTGTCTCATCGAGTGCTCAATACGACAAAACTGACTTTAGAGAAACTTTTCCAAGAACAAAATCAGTTTCATGCAAAACTAGTCCACTTGGTTCGCGATCCAAGAGGAGTGGTCTATTCCAGGATTAAGCTAAGATGGATGAAGAAAAACTTTAACAGCCCCGAATTTCGGAAAAGTGTTCAAAACGTATTTGATCCAATACTACAGAATATACGACTTGGTCTGTTTTCTTGCCCATCTTGGCTTAGAGATCGCAGTTAAAGTTGTTCGCTATGAAGATCTTGTGGCGAATATGGTAAATGTTACACATGACCTTTATAAGTTCGCAGGACTGGGTTGGTCATCTAACGTTGTTAAGTGGATAAGTACTCTGGACAACAATTCCAAGCACGGACGCGCTTATTCCGTGTTATGAAACGCGGCTATTCACAAAATAATGACGTATGAGATGCACGACAGTGCTTGGTGCGCGTTTGTGCGATGGCTTACACCGAAGGACTGGTCAGCTATTTTGGGTGCGCCTTCGTGCGAAGAAACATTTCTTTATGTTTCTCCCTGACAGAGCTGTTAAAAAACACCCAACAGACTGTCGTTGGATCACTAATAAAATCAAATGTGGATCCGTAAGCGCCAAGCTGCATTTATTCAGCAGGTGAAGAACTCAATAACTTACCGACTCTGGAGAAATAAGGTGCAATGCGCTGTAAGAACAGTAAAGTACCACGCGGGATTTGACTAAAATACAGAGCGAGATTCGGGAAAAAGCAAAAAGTCTTGACGGGACACGGGATTTGAATGCTAGTGGGAATGCGACATTCGCCAAAATCATGCACTAAAAAGGGTTGAAAGAAAAACGGTACTCGAGGCGCAGATGACAGACGTTTGGGATGCGGAATAGAATTGTCGTGAAAAAGGAGGAGGAATGCAGGATCAGGACCAACCCC